TATGGACCTGAGAGGAATAGGTTTGCAAACTTACCATAAAAGATCTGTCGGTTAAATATGAAGTGAACAATTGACGGACAGTACCAGAGAGGCCAAGGTTTTTAAAACTGAATAAAAGATGGTGTGGTCTACTGTACCAAAAGCAGCGCTTAGATTCAGTAGAACCAATACGGTCACCTTTTTAGAATCATAATTTAATCTAAAATAATCTAACATCTTTAAAAGAGTAGTTTCTGTGCTGTGGTTCATCCTAAACCAGATTGAAATGTCTCTAAAAAGTTTTCTTTAATGTTGCTTTAAAAAGGTAATTTGGATATTGATCTGTAGTTGTGAAAATCTTTGAAATCTAAATTGCTCTTCTTCAGAGTGGGTCTCACCACAACCGCATTGAAGGCTGCAGAAAGGACCCCAGTCTGAAGAGAGCAATTCATCAGGTTTAAAAGCTCCTCTGTAAAACAATCATAAAATTACATAAGAAATGGAGTGGGGACTGGATCTAAAAGACATGTGATGGGCCTCAACACTGTCCAGTGTTTCCTCTGGTGAAGACAAACAATCAGATGTGTTAAAAACAGTAATGCAGTTGGATAAAATTTTACATCTGATTATATTCATCTTCCCCATGAAGTGGACTGCAAAATCCTCATGTAGAAGTTAAAAGAGACATGCTAAAATCAGGGTTTAAAATGGTGTCAATTGTTGAGAAGAGGACTTTTGGATTCCTTTTGTTTTGGATCATTAATTTTGGGAAATAATTGTTTCTATTTTTCCTAATTGTGTAATGTGTTTTTGTTGGTTATAGTACATTTTGTAATTGATTGACATTTTATTTTTCCTCCACCTCCGTTCTGCCACCCTGCCACCTTTTCACCCTCCCTAATTCTTCATTCCTCCATGGGGGTACAGTTTTTGTTCAAATTGTTTTTTTTTTTTTGAAAGGAGCAACCTGATCCAACATAGATTTGCGTCTACTGTTAAAATCATTTGCTATAAAATCACAGGGGGCAGGTAAAACCAAGTGGGGAGTATTATTTAGAATGTTAAATTTGCAGCCACCTCAGGGGTCGCTTTCTCACGGTTCTCAGAGATTTCTCGCTGAATAGTCAGACCATGGGTCATGACCAGATCAAGGGTGTGTCCCCTGTTGTGAGACGGCTGTATGATGTTTTGAGTAAAATCCATATAATTAAAGAGTATTTAAGAACTCATTAGTAAAATTGTCAGAAGGATTGTTCAGTTCTTGTGAAAACGGTGGCTTCAGACGAGCAGTGGAACATGTGTTCACAGAAAACAAACTTCTTTGATTTTCACACAGAGATGAAGACTTGGCTGTCAATTAAAAGACTCTTTGAATATTAACAGCCGGTTCTACAAAGGGCTACCGAAAACAGCATTTTACTACTTTTTTTATTTTAATCCTGCACCAAGAGAATGACATCACTGCTCATGGGTAAAGTATGGTTTGGACCAGCAGTGCCCAACTCATTATTTTAAATTATTTATTTGATATGGACGCCACAGTTAAATTGGACAGACCCGATGCACTGCCTTTAGTGTTATAGCAAGACCATTAATTTTCAACACTTGACTTGACACTTGGACATAATTGCAAACATTTAAAATTTACAACAACAAAATGTAATGTAATATTCATTAAATTGTACATTTAATTGCTCCAATTTTAACCACAGTTACAGATGTCTGATGAAGATGTTTGTAGTTTGTAGTTTTAGGTCAGTGGGCAGAGCGTTCCACAGTCTGGCTCAGTTTGAGGAAAAGCTGGACTTCGAAACTTCCCTAAGATCCACCCACTTCAAAGCTCCATTGCGGTCCATGGGCAAAAAAGGAAATGAGGCAATTTTACATTTGACAGCCAAACAAGAGTAAAATGGAAATGGAAACCAACAAAAAAATAATGAAAAGATAAATAAATATTTTAAAAGTCAAAATATAGTAAAATCAATGGAGGGAAAATGTCCACAGAACACAGTTGTCATCTGTGTAAACAAGATGATCACTACACTTCCGAAGATTAATAAATCAGGAATGGAAAATGTCTTCTTTAGTTTGTTCAGTTCTCTGTTGAGTTAAGGCAAGAAATGTATCACCTGTAATGAGAAAAATCAGTATGGTGCTTTAAACAAAAACAACAAAACTGAAGTCATTTATTATTTGAATTAATCGATTAGTTGTTCAAAGGTACACTGTATGTTTTAATCCCATCTAGCGTTGAGATCATGTATCGCAGTCCTTTGGTACTACGGTAGCTTGGAAGGAACTAGCAAAACTGTGCCGTCGCACGTGCCCAGAGGACTGTCTATTCCTCCATTGAATAAAATCACATGCACACAGCACATTTATTTGGACTAGTCTTGTTGTAACATCAATAAATGTCTGTTTGTGACACGACCCCAGACCCCCCTCCCCCGAGTCATTCACTTACATACTTTCCAAAATACAAAACTGTGATTAAACACAAAGGCAAACAGTGGGACTTCCAGACACCACGTTACAGGCCTTTAATATCATAACCTCGTGTTCCTGCTGCATAAATGCACCTTGCACTGTATTGTATTCTGCCCTGAGCCTTGTCTTTTCCTCGCTCTAGTTCAACAATACAGCAGCTCACAGATTAAGTACAAGCAGAAGTGTTTACACAGCAGCTCCGCGTTTACGGCTTTGAAGTGAAGCGGTAAATTAGCAGAGGACTTGTCTGGTCTCCTTCTCTTGTGGCGTGCGGTGCAAATGAAGGATTTTTAGGAAAATGCATCAGCAAGACACACCAGGACAACAGCGTTTATTAAATAAGACATTTAGCCTCACAGGAATTTATTTTTATCTGTTGTGGCGCTTAAAAAAATACATTACATACAGTGCAGTTCTTCTTTAAAAAATATATATACTGTAGTATATTCAAATACAGTTACCTTGAAACGGAGGCACGCACATTGTAGCCTAGTGTGAGGTTTAAAAATGCATATTGTGCAAAAATAGTATAGGGCTCTGCAGAACAAAGATATTGAGGCTGAAAACAAGATTGAAGTGAACTGTGGGTTTATGCTGATCCATAGATTATTCTGTATGTGTGAAAATATGTGAGTTTTTGTGCCATTTATTAGTAATTAAAGGGGACATATGTAACTTAATTTCATTTGTAAAATAATGTATACTATTACTATTTTCCAACAGTTTATTCCCTGCTCTTGGCAACTACGACCAGTAAGATTTGCTGGAACAGAATAGTTAAACCAAAGACAAGGGGCCTCAATGATTTCAATTAGTGTTGATCAATCCGGAAGCTGCGGGGGTAAAAATGGGCAGGTCTAACCAGTAATTGTCTCAAAAAGTTTCAGTCTCTTACAGTTTGTTGTTTTGAAAAGTGCCCATTGTGTGGAATTTACATACATTAAATAGTGTCTGCATTTGTGATACAATTAGTCAAAAAGTTGTAACAGTAGTCATTCATTCATAGTATTCACAGGTTTCAAGCAGAGTGACCATTTCCTCACTCAAAGCATATTATTGGTTTGATCACTATGGAAACGGCCCTCCTTTTGTTTGTGTTCATGTGAAAAAGCCTATACTTATAATTATTAATTCATTCATTCATGTTCTACCCCTTTATTAGTCCATTTCTGGAAAAGGGGGGATGGCAATGAGAGCTGCCACCCAATGCTCATAGCACCAGTCCCTCGCTGATCCTCCTGCAAGTCCATGAGAAGATGGCCTTGATCTTTCAGCGGGGACTTCAGGCAACGTGGGGTTAAGTGTCTTGCCCAAGGACACAACGACAGCAGACATGAGTGGGAGCAGTTGGAGTTGGAAAAAAATAACAATTGTAAACCGCTTTGTGACTCTGGTCGGTGAAAGGCGGTATATAAATGAAGATTACTTACTCACTTGCCAGAACGAATCAACTACCGCCATATTATTTACCCATAGAGGTGTCTAAAAGTGGTGACAACATTCAGAAGCATATGCAAGATGTTGGCCAGTAGAAGGGACTTTCAGATTAAATCAAATAATGATCTGGGAAAACATTTCTTTCAAAAATGTCCAAATATGATTAGATCCTCTATTCCTCCCACAGTGGGTAAATTGCAGAATCTAGAATTGTTTTGCCACCTTCCCTCCAGCTGAGATAGAATTCTAGAATGAATTCAACCTAGTATTGTATAGATTATACAAAATGGCATCCACTCTGGCATCCATTTTTTTCAGATGCTTTTGTCAAGTTTGTTTCAAGGAACCACATGTAGTCTATGATCTGATTTTTAAAATCTACCTAAAACCCAAAACTGGATCAAATATAAAGTTAAACACCATCCATCCATCCATCTTCTACCCCTCTATCCATTTCTGGGTCCAGGAGGGTCACGTCCCAATCTTTTGGGAAGTGTTTAACTTCCCAAAAGTTAAAGACAATGTTTTATATTGAACTATTTGAAATTTAATGATGTGTTGGATTAAAAGTTTAGAATGAATTCAATTTGGTTTTTGTTTTCCTGAGAAAATATATGATATAATGGCTTGGTTAAACCCATAACCATCAATGCTCAAAGTTATTAATAATAATGGAATATCCCTTCAGGAGCCACAATAAAATGTGGCCCACAAGCCTGCATTTGACATACAGGTCTAATGACTTGCTTTGATTCTATGCCACATATTACACAATTGGAGTAATCATTTGGCAACACGCTGCACAGTTTCAAAGTTTGCGATAGATACCCAAACGACATTGGCAACATTCACAAAGAACCCACACATGTTCACGTTATTGAACTCTGTATGACACAAACAGTAGTGTGCACTTATCTCTGCTTTATAAACTCCTCAGAGACTTTGGGTGCTCGGAGAAAGTGTCCTCTGCACCGGTTTCTTCGATGGTGGAACGTGAGTGTTGTTTCTAAGGCAACGGTCAGAAAGAAGCACCTTCAAGAGGAGAGAAAAGCACTGTTTGTTTTGAGGGAATAAAGTCAAGAGGCTCCTGAAGTTGCCTAATCAGTGAAAGTCCCGTTCAGGTCCAGAGCGCTCGAGCGTTTGGCGACGGCTGTGAAGAGAGACACATAAGTTACAAACATTAAATACTTGATACGACTCAGGTGTGTGTGTAGTTTATTTATTTTGTATTGTTTTTTTGGGGGTTGGGACAGTGCACGCATCCTCATATGGTAGCCTTGGGATAATTGGATATTTTGTTAATCCACAGTCGCACTCACAAACACTCACTCATTCACCCTGAACTAGTGTATGCTTTTAATGGTAGGGGAAACTGGAGCACCCGGAGGAAACCTACCCAAAAGTGGGGTGAATATGCAAATTCCTTTTGCAATAAAACTTTTTATTAAAGAAGAAATATGATGCATTATTTTTGGAAATTAAATAAGACTAAATACTCTGTCCTTTCATGGTTTGGAATGTGAAATATCATATAAGTAAATAATATATGATGCTACTGGTATGAGGTGTAAACATTACTACTGGCCTGCTCTATGCCCACGCTACCACCAGGGGGAGGAATAGATTTCTTTTTTTTTCAAAAAAGATTTAAATTTCACCTGGGATATTGCCAAAATTGATTTAGAGAAGGAGAAAAAAGAAGGTGAAAAACTGCTCGGAGAGTGATGTCATAGGACTGACACATGAGCTTTTAGACAGAAGGGGTGGAGTTACATGTTTGCTCAAAAAAGTGCTTGCTTAAGATGTTTCCTTTAAAGCCTAGTTTATACTCGCGCGGCGTGGAACTTACGGAGGTGACGTGATCGCAAGGTCACCGCAAGGCCCTTACGCTGCCTGCCGCGCAGTATCGACATTTTCTAACTACGCAAGGTTCACCGCAAGGAAGCTCCGCTGTGATTGGTCTGTGTGTGTGTATTGGAAGGAAGCATGAAGCGGCTGAAGCAGGGACAATGGACGAGGCAGACTGCTTCAAGCTTCGAAGGAACCAAAGGAAAAGTAGTTTGGGCTCATGGCAGAGCCTGATATACGCTGAGACTGTGGACTAGAGTTCTGTTGCATATCTAACTTATATATAACTTATAAACTGTGCAGTCGTTTGTTTTGCACTGTTCCTGTCTTGTTTGAATCGTAGCTTATCGCGTCTGTTCCATTCCTCCTGCACTTATAAATTGTTCATGTTTGCCTCAGAAATTTACCACTTTTATTGTTTTGCTGTTAGTGCTGAATACACTTTAATAATAACTATGTTTCCAACAAGAACTGTGTCTTTATTCACAACATCACAGTTAAATGAGTTAAGAAATAATGAGTCCATAGAACTATCACATAAACCTACAGTAGAAACACATGTAATGATCTCAAACAGCTCGGTTTGTTCATGTTTTTGTTCTGAAGAGGAGAAAGTAGCAGCGTAAATGAGACCGCATTGGTATCTCAAGCAACTCCTGTGAGATCGCCATCATGTGGTTGGTTGTGGGATTACAACTTTCTCCTAAAACTCCGCAAGGAGTTTGCTTGCGTAGGTCCACCACAACCGCTAACCTAAGAAGCGACCACGCAAGTATACACTGGGCTTTACTCCTGTGCTACCCTCGGGTCAAAACGACCTGTCACAGTGATTTAAAGTAGACCCAGTGCTGGTTAGGAAAACTAATCACACAAAAAAATATTTAGGCTATTTTTAGATCACTGTGGTGGGTCAATTTGACATAAGGCAGGGGTTAAAGCAAAAAAAAAAGATTTGACTGAAAATTTTTGCATGGAAATTTATCACATGTAAATCACAGTAATATGCAGGACCAAGTTATATTTGTAATTGAGTGTGTTCACAGTAAAGTGACAATTGAAGTATCTGGACTTTAAAAGGTTATAACTTAAAAACAAAAATCACTTTCATAGATTGGAGAAAAGATTTCAAACACAGACAGATTGAAGAGATAGTGTGGAAAAAATCAAAAGGAAAGATCGACAAAATAATTTTTAGCAACATTTTAAACGACCAAATCAGCCTCTGATTGGACCATTCTACTGTGACGCCAGTTACATAGAAAATAGAATGTCCTCAGTCTGAAAAAGCAGAAGATGAAATCCCACAAGATTTACATGGTTAACACAACATCAGGAAATCACTTGATATAAAAAGGAATTGTAAAAAAAATAAAAAATAAATTAATTGATTAAATGACCCCTGAAAAATGTATAACGGACGTGATGAGGACGGTCCTCTTTTCTCTAAAAATTAAACTTGAGAAAAAAAAAAAAATCTGGTCTGTTTTCACATTTAATTACTTGACAATATGACAGTATCACTTTGCATCTACTTTGTGTAAAAAAATAGATTCTCTGAATCAAATGTGGACATCTGAAAATACCTATCAAACTTCCACAAAGCTCATTCCGTCAAATCATCACGTCCGTTACATAAAATAAACGTGGCCGCTTTAGGAAACTTGTCTAATGTATAAAACAGTTATGTTCTAGCAACTTCTAATGGACTGAGGAGGTGCTTGGAAACATGAAAAACATAAAATATCTTCTGATTATTAAAATCAAATGTTTGGCCTTTTGTCACACGTTTGTGCCCTTTAGTGTGAACAAGCCCAATTACAATATATTATTGTATAATAGATTGTATATTGAATACAGCTCAAATGAATTCTTCAAAGATATACAGTGTATTTTGATATGAAATATAAGTGGATCAAGCAACGAGTAAACTTTTTGACAGAATATTAGTGAGAGTAGCTTTACTTGAGGCGATATGGAGCGTCAACACTTTGGCTCTGTCCTCGTCAAAATATTACAAAAGGACGATAAAATTCTGTCCACATTTGTTTGTGGACACGTCAATATTTAAGAAAAAGGTTTCCCTTTCAAGTTTGAGTGCACAGTGCACTTCGATCAACTGCAAATGATTTAAATAAATCTACCAGCGGTAGTGATATTCTGAACGTTATTTTCTGCGATAAAGCCACAGACACGGTCTGCCATAGCAAGATAGTGTTAGTTGTTGCTGATGCACCAGGTAAAGATGAAGTGTGGGAAAGTGCACAAACAGCTGCATTGTGCGCAGTTTTGAGCTGGTGGCGAATCAAAACTTTTTTCTCATTACTCCCATACATGCAATTTTTTATGGCAAAGTACGCACAAGCACCGGCCACTTTCATCTTTTCGCACCATGACTCGTTGATTGGCTCTTTTACATCACGCTGAGATTTGCAAGAAGATCGCAAACAAGACAATATCAAAAGCTCACCAAGACATGTTTGTCCCCATTCCCAGTTGCAGCAAAGTCCGTTTTGTACATTCCGTTAAGTAAATAGCATTGCGTTTGGTAAACCTTTCGTCTATTACGCGCCCAGCTTACCAGTCCGCGGATCTGCTGCTGTTATTGCTCCGTTCGAGATTCAATTTTCCTCCTCTTCTCCTTTTCAAAAGCTCCGTGCAGTTTCCAGAAACTTTCACCTCCGTGTTACCAATGCTAACTTCATCGCGTCTTCATTTGCGCGTGAGCTCAGCTACGTCCCATTGCCTTGATTCATTTGCGGAGCGCTCATGTGGCCACGGCACGTTCAAGGCCCACTCGTTTATTATATTACTTATTATTTCTATATACATATAAATACAATTATATTCAAATTATTATTATACATCGATATATATATATATATAACAGATTCACACGTATATGTATTACTATATATTATTTTTATAATCAATCATTTCATTGTGTGTATTATTATCATTATATATATATATTTTTTTTTTCCCAGACCAATTTCATTTGACGGAAATCCGTCACCTAGACGGAACTCTTTAATCCCTGACATAAGGATAACATAAGAGTAAAATTGTCAGTAATATCTCATTTGAATATTCAAACACATGAACAACAATGTACCAGTTCACGAGCTGCATTAGTCTGTCAAAGTTATACCTAAAAAAGCTGCATTGGCCATAAAACTGAGTAGAAATGATAGATGAGACGAGGAGTGCCATAGAGCGGCATTAGCAGGTTAAGCCCGGCGTCAGAAGAGTGTGTTGGACGCGCTGCCAGGTGTGGGTAACTGGCATCAGCAGCGTGACGAGTGCTTTTGGCACCAGAGCCGCTGGCATCGAGGCCAGGGACTCATGAGGAAAAGTTAAACTGAAATTAACAAGAGAAACTGGAGAGAGCCTGATTTAAGACGGTTGGGAGATCACATGATGCCAGACGCTCACGTGTGTGTGGATTATTTATGGTTTATTAGATCCTCATCAGCATCTGCAGGGTGCGGCATCAGCTACATTTGCACTGTCAATGAGGGCGTTTACAAAGCACGAGTGATAATCGATCCTCGTTTCATTTGATTGATCATTTGATTAATGATTTTATACTTGCTTCTTTATTATGCTAAGATGAAGATGTGATTCCAAGTATAGAGTTATCGTTCATTTATCTTGTGTTGTGTGCTCCTCATTCCTACTGTTCTGTAACCGATGAGGCATAACTGAAATTTCCCCATAGCGGGAAAAATAAAGAATCTCTTCATCTTAATCAGTGGGGGGCAGGTCCTGGCTCAAAGGGTCCATGAGCATGTGCAGTGAAATGCTTATAATCCGACTCCTTGCTGGTGGTGTTGTACCCGGAAACAGAATTATCCAATTAATTCTTATGCCGCCTTTTTTCCTTTCAAAAATTCTCCATTAATATTTGCGGCAATTCTAATGCACTGGAGCTTACATGTGAACGCTTACATCGGATCGGAATGAGACAACAGGCGTCAGAGCATACAGGGAAACGTCAGGTTTGTATTAGAAATGTGTGTGTTTGGACGGGAAAGCTCTCATTTTGTTCAGGATCAATATATAATTCCTCACTGCATGTGCTTTAGGAGTGCTGAGGATCTATTGAATGATTTAGACTGCAGCACATTTGTGCAAATACAAAGTAAACATAGTGTTGTGTGATTAAATTTGCTGGTAGTGTGCTTTTTACTATCTGTGTGATGGAAATTGAGTGCGGTTTTGAACGCACTCAATTAACCCTTTGGGTGCCACTTTCTATACAGCACCCTGGCTTCTCACACATATTTTGATATATTTGCCGGGCATTCTTTCCTTGTATTCATTTATGTTACTGGTTTGTGTAGTACTCTTATAAAGTTTCATGGCTCCAAATTTGGCAACATGCATTTAGGGAATGGAGGTAGAGCCGAGGCACTGAAATAATTAAAGGCTGAAATAGCCTGACTCTCGCCAGAGCCTTGTAGTTCTCCCATGCTCCACCAGAGGCCTTTCGCTTCACACAAGGGTCTGGGATCGAGCGCATAGCAAATTCCTTCAGCAGATCAGAAAAAAATCGACCAGTGTGCCTGTTTACAACACTACGCAGCAGGGTTGCCAGGTAGGCATGTACCTGTGAACCGATCAGATACCAATCCAATTTTTTCTAATATTTTCAAAGCATTAAAAATTTGGCAACCAGTATTACTTTACAATGTTTTGTTTTTATTATTATAAAATGGTCAAAAATATTGTTTGGCTTTTGCTTAACAGACCTACTGAGTTAGGTCATAGGTAAGAATCACACCAGTATTGAATATTTCATCTTTAAAATAAATTTGATATAAAAGAAATATCAAAGAGGAACATTTATCAAAAAGCACTGGTACATAACTGAATGACCACAAAAAGCCAGTTTTCACCAGTGTGTGAATTGTGTAAATGTAAACTCCTCAATATTTAACAAATCCGATAGTATCCGATCCTTACAAAATACCCATATTGGCCCCCGATACAGATACTGAATATCGGATCGGTACATCCCTATCGCCAGGTTGGGTTGTTTCCCCTATACTTTTTTTCGAGAGAAATAAATAAACAGAATCATGACAGCCCAAGTTAATTTCATTACATTTTTAGCCAAAAAATCATTCTGGGTGTTTTTCTTTTTGGGCATTCTCACGGGTTTTGGGCTGTAAAATCTTGCCAGCATTTGGCATCCCATGGGAGTCATGTGCTTCGATGCGAGTGGTTGAAGGAAGACGACATTCAAGATAACGGACAAGTGGTTTATCCAATCACATACAAGAATTGGATCGATTATAATAACTGGATAGGGTATTATTAGCTTGGAGCTGAAGAACCCATGTGCTCGGGGGATTCTTGCGATACTGCAGACTGAACAAGACTAAATTCACGTGGGCTACCCAAAAATTTTCCCCATAGAACTCAATGTAAACTAAAACAGCTCGACCTCAGCTGACAGAAAACGTACAGCTTTCATAAAGATTGGATTTTGTGGGGATTTTAGTGTCCCTTGTCATCCTGAACTTTTTTTCTTCTTAAATCCTTCAGTTTTCTTTAAATCTACACTTTAGTGCCACAAACTCTGCCCGCCTGGCTCCCGCTTAAACTCCCGCTCTGATGGGAGTTTAAGCCCCTCTGTGCACGTGCATGACAGCCACACACGCGTATTTCATGGAACGCATCATGGGAGTTCATCCACTGCCCAGAACCGGGAGGACCAGACGATGCCCAAATACAGGCGAGTTTCCCATGGATCTTTGGGAGTTCCGCTAATATGTCAGCAACCGTGCCACAAACCATTCATTTCAATACGGCGCCATCTTGGATTGCCGGGGCTTGATCCAGACCCATGTGTGAAGCGCAGCGATCTACAAGGGTCTGGCGAGAGTCAGGCTAACATACCGATGCATTTTGGCCAAATCAGATTACTTTTGGATTAAAATTATAAGGAAAAAGTTCCTCAAGGAGTAAGAATATGAGGTCACAGAATTTGTAATTCAGATTAAAGCTCTGGAGATACAATAACAACATTCAGCGGTAATGTAAAACTAGAGCTCCTTTTTCCCATGGGAGCATCCATTATATAGTAATATGACTATTGATAATTGGATTTGACAAAGTAGACTTGTGAAGGCGTTGTAACAGATTTAAAAATAAACACACATTGTCAAATGATCCAGCACAGCAGAGAGTGAAGAAAACATGGCTGGCATCAAAGTGTGTGATAGACGCTGTGTCGGGCGGATTATATAAATACCCACACACAGAGTCGGATCTGAGGGAGCCGCTGGTGAACGGGTCTTTGATGGAGGACGACAGAGCGGCCAGGCGCAGGCTCCGCGATGTGGCGTCCAGCTTCTTATCCTGCACACAGGACAGGGGCACACACAGCTCAGTAATACTAGCTTATTAAGAGGAAATACTAATTCATATTTCCATGTTGGTAATGTGCAAACACCACTAAAAACAAATCATTGTACTTTAAAAAATGTGCATACAAGTATATAGATATGATTACACTTATATGTAAATATATATATTACACAATATATAAATGCCCTTTAAAACAAGTACATCATGAATATTCAGAGTAGTAATTACAGTCATAGTTGCAAGTGTTCATGTTTTTAGCAGCATAAGGTTAAAGGAAGAATAATGACTGGTGAATTGTCAGTAGAATGTTGAAAGACACCAGATTCTTACATTACTATTGTGGCACCAGCTGTATGTGAAAGCCTGATCCCTGCAGAGCTAAGAAGGGGTCAGGAGGGCAGGACCTGGTTAGAACTGTGATGGGAGACCTCTGCAAACACCAGGTGCTGCAGTGCTTTAAGTGGCTAGAATGTGCCAAACTACAGTTGTGTCCACAGTCATTCCCCGAGTTAATGGTTGGTGGTGGTCAGAGGGGCCAATTTGCACGTACTGGTTACCTTGCTTCTGTTAGTCTGCCCCAGGGCAGTTATGGCTAACATAGTAATTTATCACCACGGTGTATGGCATGAAATAAAAATGCATTGTGAAGCATCTTTGAGTGTCTAACAAGAGCTAAAACCGATGCATTACTAATATGTAATCAGCAGACCAATGGACTGAAGGCAGCCGCAGCATGTGTCGAGTGAGGGAATAATGCAATGTAAAGAGAGAAAAAAAAGGAAAGAAAGAATTTAGAATGTTTCCATGCCAACACTCATTTCATTAGTTAAATCTTTGGAAATATTTGTTATACCCATTAGAATTTTCACACAGCTGTCACCATTTTGACCTGGTCCACAATTTTGAGGCTAAAGACATTCAATTCATCCTCTTTTCCTTAAACAAACTGGAGACGGCGCAGCTATTAGGCTAATGCAATGGGCACTTATCGCTCAACACGGAGTCATTTGGTGGAGCGCAGGGGGTAATCTGGCACTTAAAGGCGTTTGAAGAGTGACGGCCTCTGTGGGGAACGGGGCATCGGGCTGTCAGCGCAGTGCTTCATATGGATGGGTCTCTCAGCTGCGCTTGCTCAAGGACCATTTAACAACCAGAGTTAGTCTTTCATAAGAGGGCATTCGCTTTTCTACATCAAATGCAACATATTAGCAGGTTTTCAATGACCAGGTGCACTGTTCTGAGGAAATTATACAGTGATCCAAAATTGGATAATATTGCTGACTTTGCTATGACGCTATCCCAAAAACGCAATATTATCCCTGTAATGGTATCCTTTAGTCAAAGCTGTAGAAATAACATATTATATATATATATTAGGGCTGTCAAAATTATCGCATTAATTCACGTTAATTACCGTTTTCATTAACGCGTTAAAAAATAATTAACGCATTAACTGCCATTGACGTGTTAACACATCAATTGCGTTTCCCGCTATTTTCACGTTCCCAGATGTCTATTGCAGTGTTTTTCAACCTTTTTTGAGCCAAGGCACACTTTTTTCACTGAAAAAATCTTGCGGCACACCTCCAGGAGAAAATGTAAAAATGTATACAGTACTAATGTAAAAATATATACTGTACATACTCTGTGTGATATATAAAGTATATCTTATCTTATCTTATAATGTATACAGTATACTCTGTAGCCTATATTCACAATATACAGTTATTCTCATCAAAATGCTTAAGTCCAGGCCTTGACATTAAGCTTTATTTAATATTTCTCGATACAATTAACAAGAGTTTGGGAATAAAGTGGCACTAACTGTGTGGAAAAAAACTAAGAAAATCCACTCTCTGCCCAAATAGTCAAATAATAACTCACACAAAGAACATGCATTGTTGGTGCATGGGAAAAATTTAGGTATCCGAGCTTTAAATTCAGGAGTTTTGGATGAGGGACACGGGAGGTCCTGAACGCGAGTCCATGGTTCTGTCCGGTCCGCATGTCTGTGGTTCTGTCCACTCGACTATGGTCTGCGCTCAGTACCCAGTTCAGAAGTGCGTTCGCGAGAGCTGTTGTACAAAAATTTTACATTTCACAGTTAAACCACTACAACGCGGCCACAGCTGCCCCGGGGCAGAGCGGAGGATGTTAATCCTGTTCAGAAACGGCATAATTCATTTTCAAAAACGTCTCTATCACTTTCACTTCTCACTCGCCACAAAGCTCTTGTCTCGCTCCCTCCCACATTTGTTGGTCGCATCCAATTTTACCTTTCTCGCCAAAATGCTGACCTGTTACAGCCAGTGGTCGCATCCAATTTTTCAGTTTCAAAGTACTTAGCTATCTGCTGCCATCTACTGATTTGAAAAAGTATTACATGGTTACTCCACAGTTCAAAACAAGTCACCGCTCGTCAACAGCGAATGCAGTTATTTTTAGACAAAGTAGACGAATTTCTCACGGCACACCAGACAATATCATACGGCACACTAGTGTGCCGCGGCACAGTGGTTGAAAAACACTGGTCTATTGTATCAAGTATGTTGCTTGAGGCAATATTTTATCGAGCCAGCAGATGGCAGCATTGCTCTATGAATGGTTTGAAAACAGCTAGATGCACTTGTGCCTCTTTTTTCTCAGCTTTCTGTTGATTTCAATAAAACTTACCTCTACTCGACTGGGGATTACAGGGGAACGAAACAAGCTAGAAACAAAATTATTTTTGCTGATGAAATTAGACAGTCCATTCTTTCAGAATCTGGTTTTGGATTTCAGATAGTCATAGAACACAATATTCTGTGGGTCTTGAAAATTCAGTAAAAATCATTAGAAACGGCTGGCAATATGGGAGTACCTGTTCTGAAATAGGCTGGCATGCAATGAGTTAACGCATGTCCGAATGACCCGCCCATTTATAATAATATCAATCAATCAATCAATCAAAGTTTATTTGTAGAGCGCCTTTCATACACAGGGCAACACAAAGCGCTTCACAGTCCACATCACAAATCATCACATAAAACAAACACCAGAATCACAATTAAAACATTAGAATCACACAAAAGATTAAAACACAATTAAAACATTAAAATCACACAAAAGATTAAAACACAATTAAAACATTAAAATCACACAAAAGAATAAAACCATTAAAACTTTCAAAATTACACAAGAAATTAAAAAAAAAAAAAAAAAAAAATGACAACAGTGCATTAGAAATGCAGATAAAATCCTTCAGTTGTATGCACAGGCAAACAGAACAGTCTTTAACCTGGATTTGTACATTGACAGAGTAGACGCCTCCCTCACATTTTCAGGGAGATTGTTCCAGATCTTAGCTGCATGGATCTGAAACGCAGCCTCCCCATGTTTGGTTCTCACTCTGGGCACCAGCAGGAGGCCAGTCCCTGTGCTCCTCAGAGTCCGGGCTGGTTCATATGACACCAACATGTCACTAATGTATTTTGGTGCAAGGCCATGGAGAGACTTGTACACAAGCAGAGCTGTTTTAAAATCTATTCTCTGAGCCACAGGAAGCCAGTGCAGTGACCTGAGGACCGGACTAATGTGGTCATACTTCCTGGTTCCTGTCAGGACTCTAGCTGCTGCATTTTGGATGTACTGCAGCTGCTTACAGGTCTGTTTGGACAGACCTGTAAGCAGGCCATTGCAGTAGTCTAGCCTACTGGAGACAAATGCATGGACAAGAATCTCCAAGTCTGCCCTGGACACTATATTTCTAACTTTGGCAATGTTCTTCAGATGGTAAAAAGCTGTTGATGTTATTGATTTTATGTGGCTATTGAAGTTTAGGTCTGAGTCCAGTATTACCCCCAAATTTCTGACCTTGTCTGAAGGAAGTAGGGAGAGAGACTGAAGTTGACAAATGACGCCCTCTCTTTGTTTCTGGGGACCAAAGACAATGATTTCGGTTTTGTCTGCATTTAGCTGGAGGAAATTATTTTGCATCCAGTCACTGATCTGTTGGATACAGTGAAGGAGCAAATCCAGTGGTCCATGTTCTCCTGCAGTCAGTGAGACATAGATCTGAGTGTCGTCGGCGTAATTGTGGTAGGACACTTTGTTTCTTTGTATTAACTGACCTAACGGCAGCATGTAGAGATTAAATAGGAGAGGTCCCAGGATCGACCCTTGTGGTACTCCACAGGTCAGGGCCACATGATCTGAGACGCAGTCTCCAATCTCCACAAAGTACTTCCTATCCTCCAGGTAAGACCTAAACCAGTCTAGGGCTGTGCCAGTGACACCAACCCAGTCCTCCAGTCTCTGCATGAGGATCTCATGGTCGACAGTGTCGAACGCGGCACTAAGATCTAACATGACCAAAACTGTGACTTTACCTGCATCAGTGTGAAGTCGAATGTCGTTTGTTACCTTCACTAGAGCGGTCTCAGTGCTGTGGTGGGGTCTAAACCCAGACTGGAACATATCAAAAGAATTATTCATTGTTAAAAATTCAGTAAGTTGTTGGGAGGCCACTTTTTCAAGAATTTTTCCAATGAATGGCAGATTCGATATGGGGCGATAATTTTGAAGTCCCGCAGGATCCAGACTGCTCTTTTTTAGGAGAGGTCTTATGACTGCTGTTTTTAGGGCCATAGGAAATGTTCCTGACGACAGAGACATGTTTACTATTTGTGTCAGTGAAGGTAACAAACTGCTCAGGACGGACTTCAGAAATTTAGAGGGCAATATATCCAGGCTACATGTGGAGGAGCTCAGACTCATTATTATCTTTTTGACAGTTTCAGTATCCACAGGTGCAAAGTGAGTTAGCTCAAAAAGCTTCTCTGGCTGTTGCATTGTTATACGTGCTGTGGGGGTGATAGTGTTTTTGATTCCTTGTACTTTGTCATCGAAAAACTGTGCGAACTCATTACACCTAGATTTAGAGGAAAATTCTAGGGGCAACTTTACAGGGGGGTTTGTTAATCTACCAACTGTTGAAAACATAACACGAAAATTGTTACTGCAACCTCCAATAATGTCAGAAAAATACATTTCTCTTGTTCTACGTAGAACCCGGTTAAATTCACCCAACTCAACTTTAAAGATTCCATAATCGCCCTGGAAATTGGACTTTCGCCACTTCCGTTCGGCCCTCCGGCACTCTTGCTTCTGTGCCCTGACCGAGTCTGCCTTAGTCCATGGGGCCTTTTTCTTACTGGTAACTATTTTAACCGTCACAGGAGCAATGGCGTCCAGAACAGTCAGAACACTGGTGGTGACAGAGTTATACAATTCATCAACAGTAGAGCATGGAGTTTTCTCAAAATTTAGCATTCCCATGAACAGTTCACTTGTGTTTTCATGTATGTGTCTTCTTCTAACAATTGTAAATTCAGCTGGTGGTTTGCTAGCAAAACACATGTCAAAAAATACACAGAAATGATCTGACAAAGCAACATCAGCTACATTAACATTTGATACATTAACCCCCTTTGTAATTAGCAGGTCAAGAGTGTGCCCCCTGCTGTGGGTGGGGCCACTCACGTGCTGAATGAAACCAAAGGTCTCAAACACAGAAGCCAGCTCCTTTGCATTTCTGTCATCAACATTATCAACATGTACATTAAAATCACCTGTAATAACTAAACTATCAAAATCTGTGCACACGAATGAAAGTAGTTCAGTAAAATGGTCAATAAAATCGCAACATGACTGTGGTGGCCTGTACAGGACAATGAAAAGAGTAGAAGATTGCTTTTGTTCCATTTTAAAAGAAATATACTCAAACGATGAAAAATTTCCAAGGGGCATTCTATGAGAGACAAAGTGCTCTCTAAAAACTGCAGCTATGCCTCCCCCCCTTTTGTTTTCTCGTATTTCGGATTCGAATTTAAAATTGGGTGGTGTTGCTTCTATTAGAACAGCATTTCCTGTATTTTGGTCCAGCCATGTTTCAGCCATAAGCATAAAATCAAGATCATAAGAAGTGATAAAATTATTAATTAAAAATGATTTGTTACATAGAGATCTGACATTAAGCATAGCAAGTTTAAAAATAACGTCAGAGTCGATTAATGTGGTTGATTGATTTCTACAGGGAACAGAAATTAGATTTGCAGGGTTGGACCGTCTAATTGCTGTCCTGTTTTGATTTCGTTTTTTAGAATTTAAAAACATTTTTGAGCTGGTGCGAGGAACACACACAGTCTCAATTGGCCTAAAATGTGAAAACCCTTGTTGTTGTTCTTTGTCCCAGAGTCAGAAGGGAGTCAGCACAGTTCAGTGTTTGGACTGGTAATGCACTGCCAGACGGACAGGGAGCAGTGTTTGCACCGTTGTACTCACCCGGTGCTGGTGAGCAGGAGGCGGGGGAGTGCGGTGGGGTCCGAGGGGGCTCAGATGTAAACAGTCACGCCCCCCTCGGGGAGCACTGAACAACATAACGTATGTAGTCCATCAACAGGCTGCTACCGTATCTGTTTGGGTGTAATCCGTCTGGACGATAGGCTTCGTAACGTTTCCAGAAAAGGGCAAAGTTATTCACAAAGACAAAGTTAAAAGAGCTGCATGTAGCCTGGATCCACATATGCAGCGCCACAATCACTCAGAATGCCGCGGACACGTGCGTGTGTGATGGTGACAGCGGTAACGTGGTCATATAATACACGCATATATATACACGCACAGGGGCCATTTTCTGATGTTGTGTGACACACGGAGGAGAGGAGGAGACACGCTGAAATGCAACCAAACTCGCAAAATTAAAGCTGGGGTACCTACATTTTCCCTTTCATTAACAGCTCTTGTTGGTTGTACCCAAAAGTAGAAGGTTGTGAGCAAATCAAACAGATTTAAGTACATTTGGTATGAATAACAATGTGTCATTACATTTGAAAATCCCATTTAACTTAAATTGAAGTGGCTTTGAAATAGAATGTTAAAAATGCGATTAATCGTGAGTTAACTCACCATTACTATGCGATTAATAAACCAAAAAAAATTAATCGTTTGACAGCCCTAATATATATATATATATAGATATATATATATTAGTGCTGTCCAAAATATCGCGTTATTAACGCGTTAACGTAAATCAATATTAACGGCGTCATTTTTTTTATCGCGCGATTAAAAAAAAAAATAAAAAAAATAGAAACAAAGAAAAGGACTAGTTCAGATACATTGTAGACAGAGATTACAAACAATATGTAGTTGGAGATACAGGGGGCCAAAGAAGAAACCCAGAAGGGCACATAGGAGGGGGGGGGGGGGACATGAAGTGGGAGATGGGGGGGAGGGGTTAATAAAAAAGGCAATACAAGCAAACAGTATACAGTCATAGATATACCGAAAGTAAACAGAGAAACAGCATAGAGTATTTACATGAACAAATTTACAAAATATTAAAAAAAGCAATTGCACACAGCACGCCTATTCACTTTTTAGTAGTATTAAAATGATAATTCAAGGGACATAAAGAATAGATACAAATGTGTGACTAATTTGCGATTAATTGCGAGTTAACTATGAAATTCATGCGATTAATCGCGATTAAATATTTTAATCGTTGGACAGCACTAATATATATATATATATCTTTATATATTTACTGTATGCTTACATAAGTATTATACACATATAATACCAAGTAGTAATTTAAAGAAGCTATACCCAATTTTTTTCTAAGTAGTTCATAAAAATGCTTTTTACTACATACAAGTTGTATCATAATACATAATTTAATTGAAAACTTGAGGTCATTGATTCCACTGTGTATGAAATTCAGGCAGTGAAAAGTGCTGAGTAGAGTCTGAGCGGGCCGCTCTTTCTCCTCCGCTCACAGAACGAGCAGTGACCAGCCTGCGTCCTCTAGCCCCTACAGCGCTGCTAAACACCAGGGCTTCGACTTCAAAATTCGAATATAATTCTAAAATAAAAAATATATACATATTTGAACAAATATTAGACAACCCTTATAATTAGAAATGTATTTAATGACTGCAAATAAAATAGTTAGCTCCCAAAGGTTTCACCGGGACGTGCTAGGCAGGTAACAGCTAAGCTAGCTAGCTGTTTCATGGTAACTTCCGGGTTTTTCGCGATCGCTTTTTGTCACTTTAAAACAGTATTTTTGTCATGAAAACGTTGACAGCAAATTCTGAAATCGTCCGTGCATGTGTGTTAAGGATGTATCTGTATACTGTATTGTCCGATTGACGTTTAATGGTGTTGATTGATTGATATGTATTTGTTTATTGAGCGTGGCTAGCTCCGCTAGCTTCTCTACACAGACAAGTGTGCAGAAAAACTGCACAATGTAGTGACAGGCGCTGATAGCTTGTTGTACTTGCAAAGTAATGGCAGTATTTTACACACCTGAATTACAAACAGATTGCATTGGGGCTGCGGTCATTATTGGTTTGAGAGTTCTGTTATCAAGAAAAAATGATCGGAAGAATTGCATTCAAGTTAATGGAGTGTTCTACTGCTGCTGTGAGGAGCTGTATAATAAATTATAATTAAATATTAGAATATATTCTAATGTTTAAATTAATACATCCGGACGCGAAACGTATTCTTTTACTTATTGTGTTAGCAGTGCATTGCTTTAGTGCCATTTCATCAGTGATTGTTGTACAGCTTACAAGTTACGCTAATGCTAATGTTAGAATACGTATCAGATCGCAAATAAAACTAGGTGGCTCCGTGTTATGAGAGCGCAGGTGAAATGAGAAGCCTGTGAGCGAGCTGGGGGGCGGTGCTAAACATTCAAACATTGTAGAAACGGGTATAGCGCCTTTAAAAAACATTTCTTATCATAATGTACAAAAGATAAGAACTGGAAAATAATGTCTTGCTAAGGACACAATAACCTGGCTCGATAGTGGAGGCAGGATGATGTGGCTTCTATTCAGTGCAACTGGCATTGGTGCTACAATATCTTTCAAATGGGAACTTGTATATCCGAGTTTTAGGAATATTGTCAGATATTGTCAGACTGGCTTATCATTACGGGAAACTTGATTGAATTCAAACAATCACAATCTTAGCTGAATTGTACTGTAGGGCTGAGCTCTACCGCTCTGTTATTCTAAGGCAGCAGGAATTATTCATTTATTCATACAAGTTGTAAATGAGGCGAGGTGCACAAACCAGCAGCACTGTGGGCGAGATGTGCTCATAAATGGACTCTGACTCTCCTAACTCAAACCTCAGCACCTGAAAGCAGCGAGCAATTACTTTAGGAATAGAAGCGTGTGGGCTGTTGTTAGGGACAACCGCCTCTTGTTTGTGCATTTAATGCATACAGTGCATAGCGTGTGTTCACTTATTTACCCGGTACTCTTGGATCTTGCGTTTGGAATCGTCGAGTTGGTGCTGCAGGTCCCACACGATCTCTTTGTACTTTGAGTAACGCTGCTCCACGTGCTGTCGCTGCCGCTGTGACTCCTGATGAATGCACAATGTGCCGGGCAGAGCATGAAACATTAAACATGCACTACAGGCGATACAGGTCAGATCTGTGGAGAGGCATTCTCCCACACACCGGGAATGTGTGATACTCAACATGTTATTCAACACCTACAGATGAATTAATGATTCAAAGAAAGTTAAAGTGTTATATTACTCGGCACAGCGGGGTGAGAGAAAGGTGTAGGGTCAGAGAGGGTTTTTATGGTTTTGGGTTTGCTTCATCCAACCCCTTTTCCAAAGCATGAACGTATATCTGTGAAAATATTTCAGTGTAACTCTGAATAGTGCAGTCAAAATTAAATATTGTTTGTGAAATAAATTCACTTTATTGAAACATGGATGAGGCAAGCCTACCCATTTCAGCACTCGGGCTACTTCAGCACTGTATGCAAATGTGTTTAAATGGGAGAGTCATGAGGTCAGGGGCATGTTGATTGATTCATTGATTATTGTTCTAAAATTTCTCTAAAGGTTCCTAAAAACTGTAGGCTGAAACATGGTCAACCCGTTGCACTGAAACAACAACACAACTTTTAACCACCACCTTCACCATTTTCTACTTTGAAAACCAACATTAACACTCCAAATTCTCCAAACCTCCAAATCTTTAAAGTTGTCCAGAAGAGACTGTTTCTCTGGGATGGCGTCGAGACGGTCCAAGGCTGTTCTGGTGCTCTATTGGACAGACAGACCAAAAACAATCAAAAGGTTAAAGGGCCGCTGTCGATTACAAAGTGTAGTATTGTACTAACAGGATCTGTGTTCAAAGGACAAGTCTGAAATGTTTAAGATGCTTATTTGCAATAGAGCAACAGATTGTTAAAGGGGATAAAACTCACTCACTGTATGTTCTCTTAAGTATATTTGATGACCCAGAATAGCTCTTTGTTAAATACATAACTTAATAACTAAATATTTGGATTGAGTTAAAACTATGTTATAAGAAAAGAGTTGTCCAGCTTCTCCTTAACCCCGCCCCTTTGATGCAGCGTGCTTACATCTGATATATATTTTATGGCAGATTAAGACTAAGATTAATCTTAATCTGCTATTATACAGCGAAAGTATTCGGCTCCCTTGAACCTTTCAACATTTCGCCACATTTCAGGCTTCAAACATAAAGATAGAAAATTTTAATTTTTTGTCATGAATCAACAACAAGTGGGACACAATCGTGAAGTGGAACGAAATTTATTGGATAATTTAAACTTTTTTAACAAATAAAAAACTGAAAAGTGGGGCGGGCAATATTATTCGGCCCCTTTACTTTCAGTGCAGCAAACTCACTCCAGAAGTTCAGTGAGGATCTTTGAATGATCCAATGTTGTCCTAAATGACTGATGATGATAAATAGAATGCACCTGTGTGTAATCAAGTCTCCGTATAAATGCACCTGCTCTTTGATAGTCTCAGGGTTCTGTTTAAAGCGCAGAGAGAACCATGAAGACAAAGGAACACACCAGGCAGGTCCGAGATACTGTTGTGGAGAACTTTAAAGCCGGATTTGGATACAAAAAGATTTCCCAAGCTTTAAACATCTCAAGGAGCACTGTGCAAGCAATTATATTGAAATGGAAGGAGTATCAGACCACTGCAAATCTACCAAGACCCGGCCGTCCCTCCAAACTTTCATCTCAAACAAGGAGAAGACTGATCAGATATGCAGACAAGAGGCCCATGATCACTCTGGATGAACTACAAATACCTACAGCTGAGGTGGGAGAGTCTGTCCATAGGACAACAATAAGTCGTGCACTGCACAAATCTGGCCTTTATGGAAGAGTGGCAAGAAGAAAGCCATTTCTCAAAGATATCCATAAAAAGTCTCGTTTAAAGTTTGCCACAAGCCACCTGGGAGACACACCAAACATGTGGAAGAAGGTGCTCTGGTCAGATGAAATCAAAATCCAATATTTTGGCCACAATGCAAAACGATATGTTTGGCGTAAAAGCAACACAACTCATCACCCTGAACACATCATCCCCTCTGTCAAACATGGTGGTGGCAGCATCATGGTTTGGGCCTGCTTTTCTTCAGCAGGGACAGGGAAGGTGGCTAAAATTGATGGGAAGATGGATGGAGCCAAATACAGGCCCATTCTGGAAGAAAACCTGTTGGAGTCTGCAAAAGACTTGAGACTGGGACGGAGATTTATCTTCCAACATGACAATGATCCAAAACATAAAGCCAAATCTAAAATGGAATGGTTCAGAAATAGACGAATCCAGGTGTTAGAATGGCCAAGTCAAAGTCCAGACCTGAATGCAATCGAGATTCTGTGGAAAGAGCTGAAGACTGCTGTTCACAAACGCTCTCCATCCAACCTCACTGAGCTCGAGCTGTTTTGCAAGAAAGAATGGGAAAGAATTCCAGTCTCTCGATGTGCAAAACTGATAGAGACATACCCCAAGCGACTTGCAGCTGTAATTGCAGCAAAAGGTGGCGCTACAAAGTATTAGCACAAGGGGGCCAAATAATATTGCACGCCCCACTTTTCAGTTTTTTATTTGTTAAAAAAGTTTAAATTATCCAATACATTTCGTTCCACTTCACAATTGTGTCCCACTAGTTGTTGATTCATGACAAAAAATTAAAATGTTATATTTTTGTTTGAAGCCTGAAATGTGGCGAAATGTTGAAAGGTTCAAGGGGGCCGAATACTTTGTATTTTTTTTGTTGAACGAAAATGGCTGCGCAAGACGAGTGGATCATCCGTATCACAAATTCAGAAAAGAAAATTGCCAAAGTAAGAAAGCAAAACCCGGGGGAGCCACCTAGTCCTCTGACTAAGTGTCCATAGTCAGAAGACTGCGGAGAGAGCAATGGTGGTGTGCACATATGAAGATATGAATTACTCAAACATGCACGAATCACACTTTGTGTGTATATGACAAAGAAAAACTACTATAACATGGCCAAAAGCTCAGAGGAGTCCACTTTTACTTTACGTCAAGGCACCAGTTCGGTGTCTGTTATCACGGTGTGTGGAGAGAGTGGAAAAATATTGGTTCTACAACGACATTGTAAAGCACTTTGAGTGACTGTGGTCTGTGAAATGCACTTTATGAATAAAGATTACCTACTTTAAAATTATGTAAGTATCTACTCAGAACAGGAGGGAGCAAGATGGGTGGTGGGATTAATGAAAAGAAAGCAGCTTCTTCAAGACATTTTCTTTGAGGGTTGGCTATCTAAAGCTGGTGCACCTAACTTGAAAACCACAGTAAATGTAGAATGAAACCTTGCTCTAAAACATGTTGGTTCAATCAGTAGTTTTAACAAGCAACATGTTTGGGTTCCATCACAACTTTCTCTCAGTAAGTGAAATATAAACTATTTTTGTATTGAGTTAAAGACTTTCTGAGGAAAAGCAAATCATATTCATGAAACAAAAAAAAAAGTAGTACACCAGGTTTAATTAAACCCCTCTTTATCCACAGAGTCTTTCATTTGATGCCCAAGTCGTATTGAACCGTTAAAGAAACAAAATAAATTATCCATGCACATTCTATGACGACTGGATACACTCCTTGCACAACACCATCTAAATTGAGAGACATCCTCACAGCCTTTAATTGTCATGAGATTCTTTCGTCCTCAGCACTTCCGCTTTAGAAGGCTCAGATGAAAGTGGAGAAGCAGAGGGGAGAGAATCAATGATACACACATTAGTAAAATGAGAGCTTGGTCCAAGACATGGGTCAAATGAACGCACAATTAGGCAAGACGTGCACAGCAGGAGGACAGAGCTAAGGTTCCTCTGATGCGCCTTTATTAAAGATTATTACAGGACGCACTGTTGAAGTAATATGAGGAGGGCTAGCATGAAAGAGATCTGGCTCTTCACACTGCTGCATTGGCAAAGGGCATGTGTTAAGTGAAATATTTGAATATAATAAGTTGGAGCTTAGGGGCTCCAACTTAGGGCTTAGTTTTCCAAGGTGATACACACTTTCATACATAGGACATAAACCTTAAAGGACAACTCACCCTCAAATTTTTTTTTGGTGATAAACGGTATAAATGAGTGTCCAATAGTGTTGAGTACATATCCTGGGCACCCCGGTCACTTTGGTGCAAATTAGTTGAAAGATCAACTTTCTGCCTAAAACCGTCTGTGAGGCGTCATCTGCAGGCGACCTGTATTACTACATTTGAATTTTGAATCTGGCGCCAACAGAGGCCGCTTTCGTCTGCAGTGGCTCGTTACGTCAGCAGCCCCGCGGCTCTGATATATAAACGGCCCAGTCTCGTTTACGCCCCCGTAGCAAGTTGGAGAAGGAATAGCAGAGAGTATTTTCATCGATTGTCAGGTTTGCGATTAGTTATAGCATTTAGGGCAGGGGTGTCATTCATGCGGCACGCGGGCCCGCCAAGAGATATGACACGGCCCGCGGCTCATTTATGTAAAATGATAATAATAATAATAATGAAAAAAATAAAAATCTGCTACGCCACACGCCGCAACGCTAAGCTCAGCAGCGAGGTGAACATGCTCCACCAGAGCGTGTTCTGTGACTGACAGTGACAGCAAAATGTCTCTGTCAAAAAGGCGAAAAGTGGACATCGAGTGTCGGGTTTTACCAAAAAAAGGGGAATAATTCTTATTTGTTCGCGGAGGTGAATGAAACTATGCTTGATGTCAGGCAACGGGCGGCGGTGCTGAAGGAATTTCATCTTAAACTACAAGACTCTGCAATAAATACGGCACTTTGAGCGGAGAATTGATAAAGATAAAGAAGATCAACGTGTCTCGCCCTGAAGAAAAAGCAGTCTGTTGGTGCCCAGACATGGTATCTGAGTGCTAACAACAACTAACCATAACATAGCATTAGCATCGCAGGCACACAGTGAGAGAAAGTTTGTTAAAACTCTTATACAGGCTGCACACTGTGTCCTGAGAAACCACACGCTGTCACCAACATCATGTTGCCATTGATAAGAGATTGGTGTTACTCATGTTGCATATTCCTTTGTGGTGTTACTGAAATTATCACAGAGGAGATTTGAGCGCTGCTGCTGCTGCTGCTGCTGGTGCTGTTATTGGTGCTGTTGCTGGTGCTGTTGCTCGTGTGTTGAACAGTGTGGACTGGTCCTGTGCTCTCAGCCTGGTACTCATGGTAAAGGCAGGTGTTGTGACATTTGATGATTTGATGATCATTGCGGCTTCGAGAGCGTCTTTTGGCTGTCATTACGCACCCTTTTAGGGATACAAAATGAAACAGTACACTATTGTCCCACCCCTTAATAGAAAGCTTTCCTCATTGGTTACATGGACATGTCAATCTTTCGGCCAGGAAGTAGATGCAAAGCAGTTCGGAGACAAAAAAGCTCAGGTCACAGATGCGCAACGAGCAGATGCGCCGGTGGGTGTTAAGAGGTAAAGGAACTTTTAAATAAATGTTTTTATGTGCACAAAAAGTTGGACTTTGTATCGTTTTTGGGTATTTGTAGAGCATATTCTGGTCTGGCCCACTTGATATCAGATTAGGTTGTGTTCGGCCAACGGACCAAAATGAGTTTGACACCCCTTATTAAGGGAGATTATTATTGGCATAGCTGTTTGTATTATAGATAATTGTGTAGTGTTAATAGCGTCGTTGTTCAATATTGGAGTTTTAGTCATTAGTTAGTTGCTTTTATTGTTAGATTAGTTAGCTGAATTTAGTTTAAG